TGCGGCTGCCTGGACAATGTCTGCTTCAGTCCGTGATGGAAGACAGGAGCACCTGGGTTTTCAGGGCGGTGGGGGATGGCTACAGTAGCCGAGGTAAACACTGTCTCCGGGCAGTGAGGGTGGAAGGCCCACACCGTGTTTTCCTTTTTCTTTTGTGTGCAGGGCTCTCTGAGGAAGGTACAGCGCTCTCTGACCACGTTTTCCCATTCCAGTTAACGACACAGAAACATCCTCACAGACTTTCCCAGATGTGTGCTGCCTAGACGATTCCAGATCAAGTTGATGATCAAGACTAACCCTCATGCCCAGTTTCTCTTGTTCCCCAGACAGTAGCTGTGGTTGTTGAGAATTTTAAATTTTGCTTCTAAGTCATAAACGATTCCACTTTCACCGCTACATCTTCTCCCACCAGTAGCTCTCCCCAGTTCCTAATCTCTTTTTGTGACATTTACATAATCACACAACATAAATCCATTTTTTCTTGTACAATATAAACTTCCTGAAAGAAACAGGATTGCCTTTCTTTGCTCCTATAACCTCAAACTAAAGAGTAGTTGGTTTGTGAAATGTGGTCCGTATCTGCTGGTGAGGGATGCATGCAGGAACAGCTTTGATCTTCCTGATAGGCAGCCCATTGGTCAGCAGCTCAGGCAGTTGACCTTGAAGCACATATTTGATTTTCTTGTAAACTAATTTAGAAAACTTTGTTGCCTTCAGTAGACTTTGGAATATTTGATTTTCCAATAAAACATGTAGAGAATGACCCCATCCTAAGAAAGAATATCAGCCACTTAGTGCTTTATCCCCTTTCTCTCTGTTTGAAATATTCCTCAAATAAGTAAAACTGCACCATAATAAAAGAAAAAAATTCCTTTTTAATTTGTTTGTTTGAGACATTGTCTCTCTGTGTAACCCTGGCTACCCTTATCGTCCCCCCCACCTCTACTGTCCAAACACTGTGGTTACATGTGTGTTCCTGACTAGAAAGTGATTTTTTCTTTATAGAACATTTCCAGAACTTGGTCCAATGTCAGGACACTTGCATAAATATTAAGAAATCCCAAGAATTCCAGTGTTTGCTTTGTCTGCACTGAAGTGGAGTGACGCCTGTGTTTATCTGCATGTGTTTATGTTCAGATGACTAATGAGGGGATCTGAATTAAAGAGCAGGCACAAGGTTTGATATCTCATGATAAAGATATGTGTCTCAGTGATTGCAGAAGCACAGAATGCCACTTTTGCTCAGACACCAAAGTACAAATCTGTCAGGCTTCACAAAGCATAATATGTTGTCAGGCAAAAAAGAAATGATTGTGAAAGTTGCTCTCAGGGGAAAAATTCTGTTGTCCTGATAGTCTCTCCATGTATGAGGATATGCTTTTAAAAAGGACGTGATTTTAAGGATTATTATGATTTATTTTTAAACTTTTTTGAGAACATCATATGTGAGTGCTGTATTTCACTCCATCACTCCCAGTCCCCATTCAGCTCCTCCCATGGCCCCTGTTTCTCTCAGGTCCTTGTCCTTTTACACATTATGGTTAAACATATACATATATATATAAAAACATGCATATATACATATATACCCACATATACATAGTATATATACATTATATATATATATATATAATATATACATATGCATATATATAATGCACTGAGTCCATTTAGTGATGTGCTTATGTGCCTGTGTTTAGATAGGGCTTCCCATTTGGGATTAGATAGCCTCTCAGGGAGCTCATCCCTGGAGAAACGTGATTCTCCTCCCTCAGCATGTACTGATTGCCTATAACTCTACATCTCCAGGTGGAAGTCTGTGACCTTCCCCCATCCACACTGGCATGTTATCCGATATCATTTTGCACATCTTGTTTTGTTACCATACTGTGGAGATTTCATGGATGCAGCTTCTCTGTCATGTTCAGAGCATGTCTAGAACACATTAGCCATCCTGTCCCCCTGGCTTGTGTAGTCTTTCTGCCCAGTCTTATGAAATGTTCCTTCAGCCAGGTGTAGAGGTTGATTGTAGATGCGTCACTTAGGCCTGTGCACTTCACAGTCACTTATTCTCTGCATATTGACCAGCTGTGGAATTTTGTAATAGTCTCCACAAGTTACAAAAAGAAGCTTCTTTGATGATTGGTGAGAGGTACACTTGTATCTAAGGATTTGGACTCTTTATAGTAATTATGATCTTTCATTTATAATTGGTGACCTAACTGAAAACTTATTTGAATATAATACAAACATAAACAAATTTTTTAAAGTAAAGAAAATGTAAATATGAGTCTTTCTATATGATTTTTTTCTAAAGAATCTCTGTTGTTAGAAAGCAAAGGAGTCTCCATACAGAACATTCTTCTGCCAGAATTAACGTTATCATAAAATAGTCTTTTGTCAATTTAGAAATTTTCTACTGTTTTACCTATTCTAAGAACAGAGCTCTTAAGGAGTTAAACAGATGTAATTATCTGTCTTTTTCAGGGAGAAATGGTTTTCAGAGAATTTACATCTCCCACACAGGTCAGGCAAATACACAGTTTAAAGGTAGGTTGTGTTTCAACTTCTAACTCCAAATATTTACTGGCACAACAGCAAAGTCCAGATTCCCCCTCACAATCTGCTTCTCCATGATCTCTTCTTAATGATATGTACAGCAAACACTAATGGCTTCTCTTTTCAGATGCTAAAATTGAGGTTAAGAACAAGTAAACAGCTTGCTCTAGGGCAGCATTTTGCCAAAGAGCAAAATGAGCTCCTGAGTCCCAGTTGGGCATCTATGACAGTCTTTATGCTGGAGACCACAAATCGGTATTCTCTAGAGATAGCCATACTCCTAGAAGCCTCTCTAGCAATTCACTGAACCCATTGTTGCACCAACTGTAAAGGATTAAACACGTGTGGTTATTTTCATATTCTTTGTGTAAAGCGCCACAGTTACCCGTATGTCCCCACAAACCAGAAAACCATTAAGTGTTCTTGGGACACACTGGATTCTTCAAAAGTTCAAGGCATGTATTTTCTCAATGCATGCTTTGTTTTGAATGGAATTATCCACCAATATTTAAAACCCTACAGGTGAACAAACCAAAGGATCTGAGAAGTCACCAGAGGTGGTAAAGATTCTAATAGTGTGTGCCACAGTTACCCATATGTCCCCACAAACCAGAAAACCATTAAGTGTTCTTGGGACACACTGGATTCTTCAAAAGTTCAAGGCATGTATTTTCTCAATGCATGCTTTGTTTTGAATGGAATTATCCACCAATATTTAAAACCCTACAGGTGAACAAACCAAAGGATCTGAGAAGTCACCAGAGGTGGTAAAGATTCTAATAGTGTGTGTGCTGTTCTTCAGATAAGAATGGAAAAGATTAGGAATTTGCTCCTGTGAGGGTAATGATGATTTTTGTCTTTTGAGAAATCTTGATAGAGTGAAACTATATTCATTCTTCATAAGACAAAATATATTTGTAATAGCTACATGTAGATACATGTGCATATATATAGATATATCACACCCAAGCGCACATAAACATATATACATATACATATGTACATAAATAATGTATAAATATGCATATATGTGTGTGTGTGTGTGTGTGTGTGGGGTGTATGTGTGTGTGGGGGGGTCAGCCTGCAGGTGTTTAAGCTATTTCTATACATG